GAGATCTCCATTCCCCCTTCGTCCTTCAACGAGTTAAGATCTAGCGAACGTGACGTATTAAACTATTTATTGATTTTATTTCTAACGTTATCTAACATAAAATTCTTTTACATTCTAACGTTAAATACTTTAATAAGTTTTACATTAGATAGAATAGTATAAAAAGGTTTTATTTTTTAGGTTATTCGTTATTGAGTTATATATTCTAACCTTAAAAATTTTCAATTAATATTTTTACAAACATTACATACTTTGTATGTAATTTYATACAARTAGTGAGATTAAAACAATTAATATTGCTTGAATTTATATTGATTCTTTATGATAGAATATTTTTTAAAGTGTGTGAAATGCCTTCAGGAATGATTAACAGGGAATATTGTGTACTATAATATCATCTTTAGTATGTTTCAGCTTTACAGATTTTTTTATTTTATTTTATTTTATTCGTCGTCATCCTAAGGGTAGGACACCCATCCTGCAGTCATCAATGAAGACTAAAAGTAAGTATATTTTTATATACAAAATATCTATAATAACTTCAATGGTTTTTTATTACGACGATGACATTAATTGTTCTTTTTTTTTTTCTGTTTCAGAACATCATTGCAATCGAGCGCGTAGGCAATGAAGTACTCGTGTGTTGCATCGATAAATTAAAATATAAAAAAGTCGGAAAGTAGAATCAGTGTTGATCGTCGCATGTTAAAAAAGTTTCGTTTGCTCGGGTAAAGAAACTCCGTAAGTTTCTTTTATTCTTTTTAAACGAGTGCTCATCGTCATCTTAAGGATAGGATATCCATCGTGCATTCCTCGATGAATATTCGAAGTGAGTATATTTTTGTATTCCATAATTCCACAAAYATTTTAATGGTTTTTAGTAATAGTAATGATATTAATAGTATTGTTTTTTATTTCTGTTTCAGATTGCAATCGTGTGCGAAACAATATTCGGGAGTGTTGTATCGCTTAAATATATAATTAAAATCACGGATTAGAAGCACGTTCGTTCGTTAATTTAAATTCGGTCGCTTTCGCATTATTTTTTAAATTTATATATTAAATTAACTGCGACCAATGCAGTGTAATTATATTAGAGTTTGTTCGAGTAATGTTGTATTTTTATTTTTAAACAGTCATACAGACTGTTCGCGTATTAGAGTCAGTGCATCAATGAAGATTTTGATACTTGCATTGACTGTGTGCAAAGCAGTCTTTGGAAG